GTGACGCACCGGCCGGCTGGCCCTACTGCCTGGGGCAGCACAGCCCCTGCCCCTGCCCACGCCCCTGCCCCTGCCCCTGGGCAGAGCTGAGGGTGAGGATATTTGTTGGAGAATGTATTTATACCCTGTCAGCCACGCAGAGTAACAAATTCCAAATAAAACAGAAGTGATATTTTTACCAGTGCTGTGTCTCACCTTTTCTTGGAGGCAGGGGCTGGGGGCTCCTGGACTGAGTGGAGTGCCTTGAGTGCTGGCTCGGAGAGATTCTGGCCGTGGCCATGCCTGCTGTACGAGGGTCTGGATGGTCCCCCCTGTCCCTGGCACCCACCCCACTGGGGTAGTACCCCAGTACTACCCCACCAGCTGGGGATGCTGGTCCCCCAGTGCAGCACACATGAGCCCAGCACCATGCGACCCAGGATTGCCAACACTAGGCACCACAGTGGGGAAGTCCCCGCATGCCCTAGAGCCCTGCTGGGCCCCCTCAGCACTGGGACCCCATGTAGGACTTCATCTGCCTCACAGCTTCCTCCTGCCAAGCTCTCCACTGCCTTTTCCAGCCCCTCTATCTTCACCCCTGCTTGCCAACCAGAAAAGCTGCTGGTTTCATTTATTTTTAATGTAATTTCAGCTGGAGTTGCCATGGAAACCAGACAAGGGGCCTGAATTGTCTCCAGGCAGCAGAGCCAGGGCCGAGGCCCCTGAGCTGGTGGGGCTGGTGGGGGGCTGAGCAGGGGCTGCATGGGGACCTGTGCCCTGCTCTCCCAGGGGTTCCTCACAGCTGCAGTACCACTTGCACATGTTGCCCTGCTAAGTAAGCACTGCGCTCCAGCCCCTGCACCAGACACACCATGGCCTCAACACCATGCCCAATATGAGGGTCCCATGGGTCCCTGCCAGCCCATGCCCTGTGTCCAGGAGCTACAGCACACAGCAGGCAGTGTGGCCATGGACTGGGGTACCAGCCTGGGATGGCAGCAAGACCCTCATCATGGGGCAGATGGAGAGGGTGGGGAAGGTTCTGGAGGCAGGCAGCATGCTGTGCCACCAAGGGCAGGGATGCTGCAGAGTGCCTGGGATGGGCAGCAGCACAGCCAAACTGTGATGGGACTCTGATGAGCCAATGGGACTCCCATCCAGGGCACAGGGCTGCCTTCCCTTTTCCATGCCAATGGGTAGAGCTGCTCCCTGCAGGCTAAGCTCTCCAGGCAGGGGGGGGGGCCCCCCCCTGAACCCTGACCTGCAACCCCATCTAGCCTTGCCTCAATGGCTGGCCCCTTTGGTCCAACCCAGCCAGCATCCTCAGGACCATGGTCCCAGGGCCTCTGTTGCAGCTGCCGGTTGGCTCCCCCCCCGGAACCCTGCCCTGCAACCCCATCTAGCCTTGCCTCAATGGCTGGCCCCTTTGGTCCAACCCAGCCAGCATCCTCAGGACCATGGTCCCAGGGCCTCTGTTGCAGCTGCCGGATGCCCCTGTTTAGTGACAGGCTGCAAGAAAAATCAAGAAGAAAAACCCATATCAGGCCACCGGGCCAGGTTTCCATGGAAATGCCAGTGCTCTGCAGCACAGCTCCAACAGCAGCTGCCTCACTCACCGTGGTGCAAGCAGCAGGGCCAGCCCTGCCCAGCAGCCAGTGGCCCATCCCTGTGACTCCAGCATCCCTGCCAGCTGCCCATGCTGCAGTGCCTAGTGACCTTTTGAAGGGGAGGTGCCTTTCTGCCTCAGAATAGGGGCTTACCCTGCCCTTCTGTCCCTCCTCCTCACCCTTGCACAGCCCCAGCTGCCTGCTGTCCCCATGTGCCAGTCCAGTCACCCCAGCTAGGACCCTAAGGGCAAGCTGGTGACAGATGACAAGTTGCTATTATGGTACTGCTTTTGCAAAATTCCCAAGCCTGCCATCTGTCCAGGGTGTCCTTGACCATCAGCAGCATTTCTTTGGAGACCTGGCAAAGCCCAGGGGACACTGTGTCCCAGAGGGTTCAGTTAACATCTGTGTGATGACTGTGGGTCATCCTCAGCTTCAGGGAACATGTTTAAGGCTGCTGGCAAAGAGAGGCATAAGAGAATTGCACCACAAAGGTGTCCCTGGTGCGGGGAGGAGATGAGCAACCTGTGCCTGGTCCCTGCCTACTCCAGGAGCCAAAGCCAGTGGGAGGGCAGGGCTGCTGCTCCACACGGCAACATTATTGGGTCAGTGTCCTGGTTCTGTCACCCCTGATGCATCTGGAGCACAGAACAGCAGACCTGAAGGTTGGCAGGACAAGCTGTTATGCCACGGGGTAACCCCTCTGCCCCGTGCTGCACTGGCACAAAGGATTTCTGTGCTCACCCACTGCCAATGCCCTTCCTGGCTGAGCTGACTCAAACTAGAGGTTTTGTCTCTCTGAGGGCAGCAGCCTGGATCCAGGGATGCCTGTGCTGCGTCAGCCCAAGCCTGGAAGCCCAGCAGCCCTCCTGCTGCCTCCCTGGGGCAGGATGGCAGGGAAAAGGGGGGGTCTGAGAGCCTACTCTGCATTCTTGTCCTCCTGGCAGCAGAGGTGTTTCAGTGATGGCCAGAGCTTGATTGTACCAACGCAGACTGCTGAGCTGTGGGACCTCTGATTCCAGCAAGGTGCCAGCATCCATATCACCCCTGTCCTGCCATCCAGGTACCAGCTCAGACATGCCCATCTCATCAAAATTTATCTATGCTCAAAGCGCCAATATCCTCGAGTTTTTCACTGCAGCTCCAGACACCAAACTAACCTCCCGATTAACATCGTTAACCAAGGGTCCGTTTCTGCTCCACGTGGCTGCAGATGGGGCAGTTTCCTGAGCACCGGAGGCAACGCTGGCCTTCGTACAGCCTGTCCTTGGCCACTGG